GTCGGCTAACGGACTTCTGGTCGACCTGTTAGTGGTCGACTGGACCTGGTGGTCGACGAAGGAGGGGCCGACGTCGACCTCGACTCAGGACGCCGAGCAGTTGGGCGTCGAGTAGCGGGGCGTCAACTTCGTGACGCCAGCTTCGGGTGGCCGACGTGGGTGGTCGGCTGACGACTGTGCTGGTCGACGAGGAGCAGGTCGACCAGGAGTGCTGGTCGACGTGGAGCTGGTCGACCAGAGGGGATGCCGACCTGGAGGAGGTCGACCGATGGTGTCGTCGACCTGGTGAGGTCGACGTGGAGGTGGTCGTCGACTTGGGAGGTCGACGGGCACGTACGGGAGCTGCTGGTCGACGTGGTTGCCTGGTCGACCAGGTTACCTGGGTGACGAAGTGCTGCGGAGGAGTGCGACAGTCGCCCAGGCGAAGTTGGCGAGCCCGACCTCGGTGGTGGTATCCCGAGGTCGTCGTGGCGGATCAGAGGCAGTCGTCAGCTCGAGGTTGACGTGGTGTGTGCGCTGTGCAGGTGACAAGACTCTGAGCGCCAATCATCTGCGCACAACTGCGAAGCAGGGTGCACTGCTGTCCTGTGTGAGCAACGATGTCACGCCGTCAACCTGCGACGTTGGCACGCCGTCGACCTTGCCTTGCTGGAGCGCGGTCGACGAAGTCGTGCTGGAACGCGGTCGACCAAGCTGCGCTGGCAGTTGGCCGACCTGAATGCTTGCTCCGATGTAGTCTTGCTATGCCAACTTCATTGTATCATTGTTCTGAACTTTTCCTAGTGAAACTCTTGCCAATTTTCCCCGTGAACTAGCAAGTAGTGTGCGTACAAGGAAAACGACTAAGGGACAGAGAACGCAGAGATCACACGAGCACACGCGCCTAGCCCGTAGCCTAGCTCCCGTTGCTGCAGTTATCTCCGCACTGAGGGCGCTGGAGTTGGCGTTGTTGCAGCTGGAGGTGCTGCTGGCGCTGGTGCTGCCGCTGGGGGTCCTGGTGCTGTCCCCGCTGGTTCTGGAGGCGGTGCGCGGCCGAGGCCGTACTTCGTTCCGCTCCTTGAGCAGGTTGTTGGTCTCCCACCTTCTACTGGTTCTGCTACTCCCTTAGAGTGTCCACAACCTGTCCTGTCGTAGTCATAGTTACAGCCCGCCTCCCCCCTGCCTGCTCCTTCTCCTTACACTGGTCCTATTGGAGGTCTTGCTGAGCGTCGTGAGCCTCCGTCTCGTCCTGCGTCGCCTATTCGTGCTGCTCGCACTAGTGGTCGTGCTCCGCGTCCGCGTCCTCCTGCGGTCCCAGGCACACACCAGATGGCATTGCGTCCTTCCACTGCTCCTCTGCGTGTCCGGTTGCCGTCTCCTCCAGAGTCCTCTCTTCCTGTTCTTGCAGACCCAGAGTCTGACTCTCTTCGTGCTGCCAGTCCTACTGTCACGCGTCTCCTGGCTACTGTTGTCACTGACCCTTCGTTTGAGTCCACTGCTGCGTGCCCTAGTTGCTGAGCTTGTCGACTTTGCTGCTCGCTGTCGTCTAGACTACGCTGCTAGTCTTGTTGCTGAGTCTGAGTCTGTCTGTCCTCCGTCCGTCGGGGGTGAGTGTGCTCTTAGCACGGACGTCCTTGAGGACACGCAGGAGGAGTTCCAGTGTTTTGCTGCTGCTTTGCCTCATCTCGTGTCCACGCTGATTGCCTCTGAGGGAGACCCGGATGCACCAGACATCCCGACTCCTCGATCGTACGATGAGGCGATCGAGGGTCCCTACTCCTCTCAGTGGCAGTCAGCCATGGACGGAGAGATGGCTTCCTGGAAGTCCACAGGCACCTACGTCGACGAGGTTCCCCCACATGGGGCGAACATCCTCAGTGGCATGTGGATTTTCAGGGTGAAGCGGCCGCCGGGTTCTCCGCCTGTCTTCAAGGCGCGTTACGTGGCTCGAGGCTTCAGTCAGCGGCATGGAGTTGACTACTTTTAGACCTTCTCTCCCACCCCGAAGATGACCACTCTTCGGGTGCTGCTGCACATAGCCGCTCAGCGCGACTACGAGCTTCACTCTCTTAACTTCAGCACACCTTTCTTGCAGGGCAGCCTGCACGAGGAGATCTGGCTGCGCCGCCCACCTGGCTTCACTGGGTCGTTTCCTCCTGGTACCCAGTGGAGCCTCCGGCGGCCAGTCTACGGTCTCCGCCAGGCGCCCCGTGAGTGGCACGACACATTGAGGACTACACTTGCGACTCTTGGGTTTGCTCCTTCTACTGCTGACCTGTCGCTGTTTCTGCGCACCGACACCTCTTTGCCGCCGTTCTAAATCCTCGTGTACGTCGACGACTTGGTCTTTGCCCATGCTGACACTGCTAGACTCACCCACGCGAAGTCCGAGCTGCAGAAGAGACACACGTGCACAGACCTGGGTGAACTGTGCAGCTACCTTGGCTTGCAGATCACCCGGGACAGAGCACAGCGCACCATTACCCTGACTCAGTCACACATGGTGCAGTAGGTCCTTCAGCGCTTCGACTTCACGTACTCCTCGCCTCAGGCCACTCCTCTGTCTACTCGCCACTCGCTCTCAGCTCTGCCTTCGGATGAGTCCGTAGAGCCGAGTGGCCTGTACCCAGAGCTTGTTGGCTGCCTCATGTACCTGATGACCTGCACACGACCTGACCTTGCATACCCTCTTAGCATCTTGGCACGCTATGTTGCTCCTGGGAGACACCGACCAGAGCACATGGCTGCAGCGAAGAGGGTGTTGCGCTACTTGTGCAGTATATCGGGCATGGGGCTAGTGCTTGGAGGGCGAGGTCGAGTGGTCCTCACTGGTCACGCAGACGCTTCTTGGGTTGACGACCAGGCTACGCAGCGGTCGTCACAGGGTTACACCTTCAGCCTTGGTTCCGGCTCTGTTTCGTGGCGGTCTACCCGCTCGTCTTCTGTTCTCGGCTCCAGCTGTGAGGCTGAGATCTACGCGGGGGCCATGGCTGCACAGGAGGTACGCTGGCTCACCTACCTGCTGACTGACCTAGGAGAGCCGCCTCGTTCTCCTCCAGTTCTGTACGTAGACAACAAGGCCATGCTGGCCTTGTGTCGGGAGCACAGACTGGAGCACAGAACGAAGCACATTGCTCTTCGCTACTTCCTTGCTCGTGAGCTGCAGCAGCGTGGTCAGCTGCGCCTTGCTTATGTGGCCCTTGAGGCCAACACTACTGATATCTTTACCAAGGCACTTCCGCCTTGTGATCATCAGCGCTTCTATACGATGCTAGGTCTTGTGCCTTCTTGGCCTCACTTGCTCACTTCTTGACCTTGCTTGTACTGTGATCTTTCTATACCTGCACTTGCTTGTTTACCTTTATATATGATCTTGCATGTGAACTGGCCTTGTGGCCTTGCTCTTGTGCTCGGAATGTGTGGTGACGTTGTGATCCACCCTGAGCTTGCTTTGCTTTGCTTGACTGGTCTTGTAACCTTTTGTTCTCCCCCACTTTGCCTATGGGGGTGTGTCAAACTTATAGTTTGTTTAGTGGGGTAGACAATATGGGGTACAACATTTCTAGGTTTTCCTACTTGTACCCACCTCTTTCCTAGTTCATTCATTCCACAATTCTCACATAAAGAACCCGTGTCTCTTCACCAGGTTCACTAGATGACACACGAATTCATCGCATCCGACACTCCCTCCGTCTTCCAGAAAGGCCTCATCCCACTGCTCATCCCACTGCTTTGCTTTGCTTGACTGGTCTTGTGACCTCTTGTTCTCCCCCACTTTGCCTATGGGGGTGTGTCAAACTTATATGCTATAGTTTGTGTAGGCTGTAGTGGGGTAGACAATATGGGGTACAACATTTGTAGGTTTTCCTACTTGTACCCACCTCTTTCCTAGTTCATTCATTCCACAATTCTCACATAAAGAACCCGTGTCTCTTCACCAGGTTCACCAGATGACACACGAGTTCATCGCATCCGGCACTCCCTCCGTCTTCCAGAAAGGCCTCATCCCACTGCTCATGTATGGGCTTTCTCCGCTTCTCGGACCTTGTCGCAATTCAGTGGCAAGACATCGAGTTCGAGGAGGCGGCGATGTGGCTATTGATTCCCCACTCCAAAACTGACCATGAAGGCAAGGGAATATGGGTCCCAATCGCAACCACACCCGGACCCTATTGCCCAGTAAAGATCACTAGACAGTTCATCTCGCTTGCCTGCTATGACGCCTCGACCAAAGGACCACTGATACGGGTGTTCACACGTGACCCCAAAGCAACTCCGCCCGACCACGCGCCTTCATACCCAACTGTGCGCAATTGGTGCTTGGAAGTATTCCAAAAGGTTGGCCTCGACGCCAACCACCTTGGCACGCACTCCTTCCGCAAAGGAGCAGCAACGACGGCGGCAGGCATCGGAGTCTCGGACAGGATGTTCAAGCGGTTGGGCCGTTGGCGCAGTGACAACGCAAAAAACCTCTTCGTCACCATCGCCCACGACCAGCGTGTGGCTGCCTCCCAGCTGATTCAGGATCCTACACGGGCTCCCTCCCCGAACCAGCACCAACTGTCTATCCAGCGGCATCGCCGACCGACCCCTCGCATGTCTCAGAAGGCCCATATGAAATGAAGCACGATGCCTTTACAAGTTGCAGAAAGCAAGCTTTCACAATATGTACATTTTTAAAAGTGTGTAACACTTTTCAAAAATTGTGTATTGTGAAAGTGTAGCGATTGCCAACGCAGCTAAGGCAGTGTCGCATCGCTGCTCGCCCTTTTTTGGCTACAAAAGAGGGGGTTGAGGCCATTCGGCCTCACCCACGTTCTTCTTTTCAATTTCGAAGTTTGAGTTTCCCACCCACCCACCCATGTAGTAACTATCTCTAAGATTCTTGCTGTAATCGTACTTATCATGGGATGAGATTGATGTACTCATACCCATATGAAATGAAGCACGATGCCTTTACAAGTCGCAAAAAGCAAGCTTTCACAATATTTGTCCATACGGTCACAATCTGTAAGCATGCGCTACCAGCTAGCAGCAAGTGTAGGTGCAGAGAGAGCAAGCGTTTTGGGGCGAGCATGGAAGGAGGTGTGCAGCACAGCTTGTGCGGAGGGGGAGAGAGGCGAGCCCAGGAACTGGGAGTAGATCTGCTGGGCTAGCGGATTGGCGAATGGGCTGCGCGTTTCCACCTGCGATTGAGACAGTAGAGATTGGTGCAGGGATTGGCAAGGGGATGCAGACAGGTGCAAGGAGCACAAGGAAATGTGAGTGGGGTGAGAAGGTTGAGAGGAGAGGGGTCGCGGGAACAAGAGCACAAGACGAACACAAGCATGTGGAACTTGACGCACCAAGGAGCCATGAGCTCAAGAAAAGGCCCGAGACCCTAGGGAATGGGGAGGAAATGGGAGAAGGGTGGTAGCAGAGAAATCTGAGCCATGTAATGCGCCCTCACCTGGGCCAGGTAATGAGCCTCCAGGTCCTGAAGGTAGCTCCTCGTTGGCTGCGCCTTGCGCTGCTCCGGTGGACGCTGGCCCCCTCCATTCAGACACCCTGCAGTGCCGTGCCATCCAATGCACCCCATGCACCCCGTGCACCCCATGCACCCCCCATGGACCCACGCACACAAAATCGCACCTTGAGAACCACAGAAGCACGTTGGAACAAACTACATGAAATGGTGAAAGCGACACATTGAGCATGGCAACCACCACCTTCCCATAAAATCCTCACGCGCTCTCTCCTCACCCATACTCACACCTGCACCTCTATGCTCCTGCAACTCCAGTCCCCCCATGCCCCTCTTCCACCTCCCGTTCTCAGCTCCAGGGCGTGCCATCACCTCCACGTAAGGGTGTAAACAAATACCACTGTATTCGTATTAGTATTCGATATTCGACAAATATCAAATACAAATCAAATACAAATACCCCTTACTATTCGAAAGTATTCGACATTCAAGTACTCAAGTATTCGGTTCAGATAACCGGTTAGTCGAATACATATTCGATTCACTTTGAGGTTACTGAACCACCAAAACCAGCCGCTATTATTCACGAAATCTTGAGTATACAATACGAAGGACTCTACAGAACGGCCATCAGAGCCATGCTAACTGAGCAAGGGGGCAATGAGTAAGAGTAAAAGGGTGTTAATGATACTTCAGTATGTATTTAAGCCCCACCGTGAATCATGAGATCTTTGTTTGCGCAACATATTGCTATTCGAAACCGTATTCGACACACCATGTATTCGAGTCGTATTCGAATTCGTGGCGGGACAGGTATTCGAACAAATACAAAAACAGCCAGGTATTCGACAATTATTCATTTAAGATAACCGTATTCAAATCCGTATTCGTTTTTACACCCTTACCTCCACGCAGTGTAACGAGTTGAATTATCAGTCACATCAAAAGCCAGCTTCTGTCCCTCTCCCCTCCCCCACCTCCACTCCCCCTGTACCTGCCCCTCCTCTCACCGCTGGGGCAAGCCATGACCTGCACGTGGTGGTGCCGAGTGACTTTTGATTGAACTCACGAGTCACCTTCTGGCCCTCTCCCTCACCCCCACCTCCACTCCCCCACTTGCCCAACCCCCCGTCCCTCTCATCCCAGGGAAAGCCATGTCCTCCACCTAGTAGCCATGTCCGGCCTTTCTAAGTCGCCTCAAGAGTCACCTTCCGGCCTTCTCCCCACCCTCCCCCATCTCCAGGCCCCCTGTTCTCCACCCCTCTCATCCTCACCTCCGAGACAAGCCATGACCTCCACATGGTGGTACGGAGCAACTTCCAAGTTGACTTATGAGTCACCTTCTGCCCCTCTTCACCTCCAGGCCCCCTGCGCCTTGGCCTCCTCTACCCGCCAGGGCAAGCCATGAACTCCACATGGTGTGGTGGTACTGGTACAGGCGACTTTCCCCCCCACCTCCAGCCCCCCGGCTACCCACCCATCCACTCTCACCTCCGGGGCAGGCCATGACCTCCACGTAGTGGTATGGGCAGCGGCCCTGCTTGGCGCGGCGCAGCACGTTCTGAATGTTGCGGAAGCCGTACGCACATGCCACGCGCAGCACGGGCTGCCCGTCCACCGCCACACTGCACTCGCGCATGTCCGCGTTGCGCACCGCCTGCCACTCCAGCGGGCCCAAGGGCACGTGCACACCAAACAGCTCCAGCGCTGCGTAGCGCAGCACGGCCTCCGCGTACCCGCCTGACCCGCCCGCCACGCCATAGAGATGCCCGCTGGCGTCCACGTTGGTGAGCCTTGGGGGTGGGGACGAGCGAGAAGCATGAGAAAGGGTGGATGAAGTGGTGCGGCGGGGAAAAGTGGATGAAGAATGGAGAGGGTAAGGGATGGACGGCGAAGGTGATTGTGCAAGTGGATGCCAGAGGTGTGTGGAGACATCATGGGGGATGAGGGAAGGAGGACGAGGCGGTTGGGAAAGGCAGCAATTCTGAACGTATGTGGACAGTGGAAGGAGCTCAATGGACTGGAGAACTGGAGGGTGGACAAGGGGGGCAGGAGGGGCAGCTGGCAGTGGATGGGGCGAGCGTAAGATGGGACAGCACTGACATGTTACACCATCAATGAATATCCACAGTGAAACGTGAGGCATGGTGGCATGGCATGTGACATGGAATGGCATGGCATGGACATGGCATGGGCATGGCATGCGCATGGCATGGGCATGGCATGGGCATGGCATGGGCATGGCATGGGCATGGCATGCGCATGGCATGGGCATGGCATGGGCATGGCATGGGCATGGCATGGTGGGATGGCATGGTGGCATACATGGAGTCGAGAGGATGCTCTTCCAGAGCCATGAAGTCCACTCCTTGTTCCTGCACCCAGGGACCATGGTAGAGACATGAGCGCAAAGTGGGCAGTCATGCACACAGGGGTGAAGGCACAAAGGGGTGAAGGCACACAGCGATGAAGGGGGAACATGTGAGCCCTGGGGGGCTAAAGAGGCAGCATGGGAGCAATGCAAGCGAGACAAAAGTCGGACTCACAAGCAGAGATCCCAACACCCTCCTCACAGAGCACCTGCAGCAGTGCGAAGATCTCCCCTGACGTCAGCACACAGTCCACCTCTGTCAACCGCTCCTCACCGCCCTCTGCATCTCGAGTATTCTCTCCCCCGTCCTGCGCACTCGCCTGCGCCCCCCCAGGCAGCAGGAAGTCGTCCCTGGCGGCCTCAAGCTTCTTGTCGTAGCAGGGCATCACTGCCACGTGGTACAGCTGCTCTGGACTGGTGGGACAGGGAGGGGAGGAAGCCAATTCTCTAGTCGACTCAAGGGTTCTGAAGTCTAGGAATTAATCGCCACTCCATCATCTTGTTGTAGCAGGGCATCACTACCGCCACGTGGTACAGCTGCTCCGGGCTGAGCAGGGGAGAGGGGAGAGGGGAGAGGGGAGAAGGGAGAAGGGAGAAGGGAGAAGGGAGAAGGGAGAAGGGAGAAGGGAGAAGGGAGAAGGGAGAAGGGAGACGGGGAGGGGAGAGAGCCAAGGGAGGAGGGAGGGTAAGACGTGAAGGCTGAAGAAGAAGAAAGACGGGAGAAAGGGGAGGAGAAGGGTTAATGGGAAACAAGCAGCAGGAGTGAGGCAAGACGGAGTGCAGTAGGGAATGGCTTGACTAGCAGTTGTGTGTTGTGGGTAGAGGAAGAGAAGAAGAAGGGCGAGTGAGTGCCTTCTGGGTACATGTGCATGGCGTGTACCTGTGCATGGCGTGTACCTGTGCATGGCATCCAAGATGGCATGGCGTAGACCTGTGCATGTCTCATTCCCACGCATCTTTTACCGCCTGCTTCGATGCCGCGCTCGTCGCTCCTCTCACCCACGGCTGCAGCGAGGGGCATGAGAGGCATGGCCGCACGACTCACGTGGTGTTGAGCCGGGAGGCATAGAAGCGTTTGAGCAGCGCGCCCATGGTCTGCTGGGCACTCTTCACACGGCTCATGTGCGGCAGGATGTACTCCCCGTGGGCCTTCTCCGCGTAGCACACCCACCCTGGCAGCCCATGGTGCATATGGTAAAGGAAAGTGGAGAGAGGTGAAGACATAGGCTCATGTGCGGCAGGATGTGGTCTCCATGCGTCTTCTTCATGTTGCACACCCACCCTGGCCTCCCATGGACGCACGCATGGAGATGCGTATGGGAAGAGATTGCAAAGCAGTGGGTAGGGGCATGCACAGGTTCGTGCACAAGGGCGGACGCATGGGCGGACGCATAGGCGGACGCATGGGCCAATTCATAAGTGCACAGGAACCAGCTATTGGCCTGGCTGTGCCACGAGTCGTACCAGGGCAAGCAGAGGCGAGCACAGGCAGGTGCGGCAGCGAGTCAGTGGGGATGGGCGGCGGTGTGGCATTGGGAGGGGCGGACTGGCCAGACTCTTGTGCTGCCTCCGCACTGCTCTCTCGTGCTGCTGCTGCTTCTGCTGCTGCTGCTGCTTCTGTTGCTGCTGCTGAACCTGCAGCTGGTACCATGTCAGATGGTGCTAATGGTGTTGCTCCTGTGGCTGCACGGTGATCGGACAATGCATGCGGCATAGCAGCCAGGCCACTGACAGACCCGTTCATGGTGCCCGCAGGGGCAGAGGCAAGGGCGGTGGTGGCATGAGCAGCAGCGTGGCGGCGGAAGGCGCAGACGAACTCATGGCAGGCCTCGATGAGCGCCACGTCCCTCGATGCACTCGTGTCAAACACCGCTGCCACGCCCAGTGCATGCAGGAACGACGTCAGCTTGCGGAAGGCCTGCCGGGGGGGAGGGAGCAGGTGGGGCGTGGCATGCTATGCACTCGTGTCAAACACTGATGCCACGCCCAGCCCATGCAGGAACGACAGCAGCAAAGATGTTTATGGATGTGCAAGGAGGAGGATAAGAGGCGAGCATGCAGGTGCAGAGAGCGGGAAATCGTGGCACAAGGTGGATACATCTGCGTGCGCGGCCCCCCTACGGCAGCCACCGGACCTCGCACTTCCCTTCGCCCTCTCGCTGTCTTCTCCACACCTGCATGCGCGCCCCCCTACGCGAGTCGCACCTGCAGGGGCGTGATCTTATAGTGGGCCGCCAGTGCCGCCCGTGACTGCGGCGACAGCGACACCACCACCACCTTGCGCCCCTCACCCCCCTGCCCTGTTTGCCCTGCGCTGTCCGCGTGGGAGCCTGGCGGTGGCAGGTGGTGCAGCATGTGGTGCGCGCTCTGCTGCTCCAGCATCACCGTCTCCGCCGTCGTCACGCACCCACTGCCGTGCCGCGCGGGGGAGGCGCGCGGGGAGGGGAATGGAGGGGGGAAGAAGGGAGCAGCGCGTGAGTGAGAGTCGGGAGCAGCGCGTGAGTGAGAGTCGGGGGCTGCATGGAGCGAGCAGCACAAGGGTGGCAAGCTAACGAGCGCTACGGCTGTGTAAGCACCGTGAAGCTACAAGCAGCAGCGGCGCCACACCTGCACGCGAGGCAGTCGTGCAGAGTGACCTTCACCGCCTCGCCCTCGCGCCCTTGTCTCGTCTGCTCAAATCCCCCTCCGCCCGCTCCCCGCAGCTGCACCTCCCCCGCTGCGCCCACACCCTGCAGCGCGCCCGCGCATAAGGGGTCCGGGGGCGGAGAGCGGGAGGGAGAAAGACGTGAAAAGGACGGGAGAAGGTGACGAACGGGATAAGACGCGGATGCATGATGCACCATGCGCCAATGAATCCATCGATCTATCACCAAGCCCGCCACTTCGCCCCTCCCGTCTCACCTCTCCCCCACCCACGCGCTGCCCCAGTGCGGTGACGACGCATGCCTGCGATGGTGCGATAAAGTCGTTCAGGTCCGTTAGTCGCAGCGCCGCCGAGAAATTCGACATCGCCAAGATTTACGGACGACGTGCTGCGCAGAGGGGTTCTAGAAACTAGCTGCACTATCGACGTGCTGCGCAGAGGGGCCTAGGAGGGTATTTACAAACATCAGAACAACGTTTGGTTTGGTTTGGGGCGGTAGATGTCTTCCTCGGACGGTGGGAGGATGGACGGTGCAGAAGTATTTGGACCAAAAATTTTGGGTTTCTACCGAAGCGCACACCACTGTCTATTACTAGTAATTAAAAAGAAACGTGCATGCCTGTTGGCTGTTTGCTAAAACTGTTTGATTCTTAGTTTCCATAAGTGTTTTTTTAGGACAGGCCAACCTACTGTAAAAGATTTTGTTTATACATATATGCCCCCATATATAAGCGGCCCCGGGGGGTTATAATAAAACACGTTTATTTAGGGGGTGCACGTATAATTGAGGAATTTTATCAGCGGTAGGGGATTGTATAATTTACTTCCTTTTAACCAAATTGAAGCATTTTCAACCGCACATCTCGTCCATCCGAGAATTGTCGAATACGTGCATGAAGTCAGTATGGTTTGGTCAACAAGGTGTGGATTCACGCCTTCCACGCCTTGTTAGCTAGGTCATCTTCATCGAACATGATCCTGGCTCATGCCAGCACACGCGCTGTTTGACAAATGAATGCCGAGTAAGAGTTGCATGCAATTCAGAGCACCTCAGGCATCAGCGAAGATGGGCTTTATGGGGCAAAATTCCCTGCCAACGAGGCTATCAACTACCCAACTCAACTCCTCTGCGGGAAAATTTAACCATTAAGGCACCATTCCTTACATAGGATCCCTGCCACGCTTCTACGAATACAGCCTCCCTACTTCACGTGCGTCACCGTGCCGCACCTTGCTGCGCCTCTCATTCCTGCCTAGCCCCACCTTACCTCTTGCTCCGTTTTTTCCCTTCACTCGCATCCCATTAACCGCTTCGATGTTTCCACCACCTTGCAATACTCCTTCACCCCCCTTGCTTTGGTACGCCTTTCCGATCCTCCTCCCCTTCCACCCCCTCCTTCCCCCCCTCTTCCCAAACCCCTCCCCTATCTACCGCCGCCCAAACAATCATCATGTCCGTCCATGCCACTGGCGAAGCTGGGGGCAGGCTGCAGCCAATCAAGGCGACGCACGAGCGGCATGTGTGGCTGGACCTGGTTGTGGCATGGTGCCGCCACCACCGCACGCTGCTCGTGCTTCTCGACCACTTCCCCCTCTTCCACAACCATACCATCCAGCGTGAGAGCTTAGAGGAGGGGCAGGCGGGGCACTATGCATATGTGGTCGGGGGTATCGAGAGGGAGAATCAGAGGGAGGGGTCGGGAGGAGGGTTGAAGGAGGGGGGACGAAGGCAAGGGGTGAATGGGAGAAAAGGGTGTCAAGGTGGAGGTGACATGGGGCGTGGGGATGGCTCTTTGCTTGTATAGGCATGGGTAGAACCTTCTTTGTCAGAGGTCCACGAGTGATCCCCAATTGATCCTAGGCAAGGGTTACAGGTGTTAGAATCTAGCAGTAGGAATGAATGCACTATGGAAGAGATGGGTACAAGTATGAAACCCTAAATGGGGCTGTACCCCATATTGGCTACCCCACTAAAGCCTACACATATATAACATGCATATACTTTGACACACCCCCATAGCCAAAGTGGGGGAGAACAAGCGGTCACAAGACCAGTCAAGAGAAGCAAAGCAAGCTCAGGGTGGATCACAACGTCACCACACACACTAAGCACAAGCAAAGGGCCACAAGGCCAGTTCACATGCAGAGGTATATATGCAACAACGGCAGCACAGTGATCTCTACCTAACACAGAAAGCATGCAGGTATATATATAGATCACAGTACAGGCAAAATCTACAACAAGTGAGAAAACGTGGGCACAAGGCCTAACAAAGTACAAAAACGCTGATGATCAACAGACGGAAGTGCCTTGGTGAATATATCAGCAGTGTTGGCCCGAGTGGCCACGTGAGCAAGACGAAGCTGACCACGCTGCTGCAACTCTCGAGCAAGGAAGTAACGATGTGCTTCGTTCTATGCTCCACTCTATGCTCCTGACACAAGGCAATGATGTGAAGAATGAGGAATGAAGAAGAGGGGGTTTGCACTAGCAGCAGTTGGCATACATATAGGAAACCCTAATTGGGTTGTACTCGTTATAGAGTACCCCACTGCAGGCTAGACAATTATAACATTCTGACACACCCCCATAGCCAAAGTGGGGTGTAATCAACACAATGAGCAAGCAGGCATAGAGCAGGAGTTCACAATAGCGAGCAAAGCTAGAGTTAATCACAGCGGGCAAGTGAGGAGGAGGAGGAACTGTGGAGGGAGAGAAGATGGGAGGCAACGACTGAAGCTGCAGAGGCACGGGCACAGGAGCGGCTGACTCAGTGGCTACCGAAGCAAGGGCGACGGACTACTGGAGTAACTGGCTCCGAGGCTATAGACGAGCGGCAGGAGCAACGGACCCACTGGCGACTGGTGCGACAGGCTCACTGGCTACCGAAGCAAGGGCGACGGACTACAGGCGCTGCAGGCGACACGACAGCTACCTTCACACAACCTCCTCTAGCTGCCCCACACCCCTCGACACACACCCCCTACACAAACCCTAGTTCCACTCCCACAGTACCCCCCTTTCACACACCCCTTGCTGCACCCTAGGTTCACTCACACCCCACCCCCTAGCACCACTCCGTCGACTCCCACACACCCACCCCCCTCAGCGGCAGCTGCAGCAGTGGGAGACAGAGGAGGAGGAGGAGCAGGGGAGACCACACACCCGCCACCCCCTACTCGCCACCCCCAGATCCTAACACATGGCAGGGTGGGACGGCGGGTAGGGAGGTTACCGGGGGGGGGGGGGAGGGGAGGGGGGGGCCGACGTGCGGCCTCCCAGGGCGCCAAACAGGCAGCACAAGGGGCGACGCTCGCCCCCCCCCCCCCCCAGGCCCCCTCAGTTCGCCTCGACAGGCGACGGGAAAAGAGGGGGGGGGGGGGGCGGTGCACGGGCCCCCGGTGCGCCGCGACAGGCGACGGAGCATGGCCGGGGCGAGGCCGGGGCAGGGTCGAGGCAGGGCCGAAAGGGGCGGCAACGGGGCCGCAAGTGGCGACGACGGGGCCGCTGGAGGCGGCGACGGGGCCGATAGGGGCGGCGACGGGGTCGCTAGGGGCGGCGACGGGGCCGCTGGTGGCGGCGACGGGGCCGATAGGGGCGGCAACAGGGCCGCGAAGGGGCCGCGAGGGGCCTGGAAGGGCGGCGACGGGCCGCTAGGGGCGGCGACGGGGCCGCGAAGGGGTCGCGAGGGGCCTGAAAGGTCGGCGACGGGGCCGCTAGGGGCGGCGACGGGGCCGCAAAGGGGCCGCAAGGGGCCTAGAAGGGCGGCAACAGGGCCGCTAGGGGCGGCGACGGGGCCGCGAAGGGGCCTCGAGGGGCCGAGAAGGGCGGCGACGGGGCCGCTAAGGGCGGCGCGAGGGGCCGTGAGAGGGGCCTCTAGGAGGGGAAGAAAAATAAATCCGTCGCAAGCCACGGGGCGTGCAACACACAGAGTAGCAGCGGAAGCAGTTAGGTGGGCCCACAGGCCAGGAGAGTAGATGCTCTGATAGCATGTGAAGAATGAGGAATGAAGAAGAGGGGGTTTGCACTAGCAGCAGTTGGCATACATATAGGAAACCCTAATTGGGTTGTACTCGCTATAGAGTACCCCACTGCAGGCTAGACAATTATAAAATTCTAACAAATGACGGCATTGTTGTCGACGTACAGCACTGGAGGAGAACGAGGCCGCTCTCCCAAGTCAGTCAGCAGGTAAGTGAGCCTGCGTAGCTCCTGTGCAGCCATGGCTGTGGCGTAGATCTCTGCCTCACAACTGGAGCCGAGAACTGAAGACGAGCGTGTAGACCGCCAGGAAACTGAACCAGAACCAAGGCTGAAGGTGTAACCCTGTGACGGCCGCTGCGTAGCTAGGTCGTCAACCCTTGAAGCGTCCAAGTGCCCAGTGAGGACAACTGGGCTCCGCCCTCGAAGCACGAGCCCCACGCCCGATGTACTGCACAAATAGCGCAGTTCCCTCTTAGCAGCATCCATGTGCACCTTTCCGTGCCTACCTGGAGCCACGTAGCGGGCCAGAAGGCCAAGAGGGTACGCAAGGTCAGGTCGAGTGCAGGTCATCACGTACATGAGGCAGCCCACTAGCTCTGGGTACGGGCCACTCGGCTCTACGGACTCATCCGAAGGTAGAGCTGAGAGCGAGTGGCCTGTAGCCGGAGGAGCGTGCTGTGGCGAGGAGTAGGTGAAGCCGAAGCGCTGAAGGACCTGCTGCACCATGTGTGACTGAGTTAGTGTGATGGTGCGGCGTGTTCTGTCCCGAGTGATCTGCAAGCCAAGGTAGCTGCGCAACTCACCCAAGTCTGTGCACGTGTGTCTCTTCTGAAGCTCCGACTTCACCAGGGCGAGAGCCTCAGTGTTAGCACAGGCAAAGACCAAGTCGTCGACGTACAGGAGGATGTAGAACGGCTGCAGCAAAGTGTCGGTGCGCAGAAACAGCGACGGGTAAGCAGTAGAAGGCGCGAACCCAAGAGCCGCAAGTGTATTCCTCAGTGTGTCGTGCCACTCACGTGGCGCCTGGCGGAGACCGTAGACCGTCCGCAGGAGGCTCCATTGGGTACCAAGAGGGAACGACCCAGTGAAGCCAGGAGGGTGGCGCAGCCAGATCTCCTCATGCAGGCTGCCCTGTAAGAAAGCTGTGCTGAAGTTAAGAGAGTGAAGCTCGTAGTCACGCTGAGCGGCAACGTGCAGCAGCTCCCGAAGAGTGGTCATCTTCGGGGTGGGGGAGAAGGTCTGGAAGAAGTCTACTCCCTCTCGCTGTCTGAAACCTCGAGCAATGTAACGAGCCTTTAAGACACGCGGAGAACCTGGCAGCCGCTTCACCCTGAAAATCCACATGCCACTGACGATGTTCGCCCCAGGAGGGGGAACCTC